AGGTGGAGCAGGATGGAGTTGAGTATCTAGGTGGGCTGCTCTCAGGTGAGTCTGGTAGGAACGCTGTGGCCGGGTTGATCCAGTCTCTTTTTCCTGGTGGGAGCACGAGGTCATGGGCTGCTGAGCTTTCTCCCACCTCTTCTCTTGTATCTCGTTTGGGTGAGGTGGCTGGAGCTGTGAGTTTCTTCACCTTCTTCTTTAGTTGCCTAACACAGTCAACTAGCTTGTGGATCGTTTTGTCTTGCCATTTTCACCATTTCTGAAGGCTGTTAACTCTTGAATACAGCTTCTTTGTGTGATACTCAGGTTCACCCCAAAAGTAAGGATCAAAATGGTACCGGCCTGCTCCCATCCTTCTTTCAAAATCTCTTGGCTCCTCATTCTCACAACCGGCAGTCCTAGCTGTGCTCTGCTCTTCAACTGGTTCTTTACCCTTGGATCCTGCTGCCCTCTTGCATTTGCGAATTGGAGGGTAAATGGCTGGGTTGTAGAGCTGATCCTTTAGAACAATAAAGGAGACATTGTGCCTTTCTGAGAGAGTGGTGATGGCTGGGTGTGGCAACAGAACTTGGACCTTCTCATTTTGTAAGAGCTTGAAGGTGTAAAAGAAGTTTTCACCATTGCTTTCTGTTAAAAACACAACCTTGGTGAGGGTTGCTTCATCAATCAACTCAGGCTTGACCTCAACATCATCAAAGACAAAACCTCTTGCTTTCAGAATCTTTGTCACTAACCATCCATTGTGCAACTTATTGAGCTTCTGCCTTTTACCCTCACTCTAAGCAATGTCTTTGTATATCAGCATATGGCGTGCCAAGAATGCACCACCAGTAGGGATGTAGTGTGGGAGATGAAATTCTCTCTTGCTCTTCAAATGACTGATGAGAGGATGTAGACCCAAACCCAGAAGTTCCATGTCAGCTAGATGCACCACACCATCATTGTGCTTGGTAAAGAACATTTGGCAAAGCACTTTGTGAGCATAGCGGATGGCTGGGTTTCTTATCCATGAACTCTTGCATCTTCCTCCTCTGAAGCTCCCAAAAGCAATTGTATCCCACAGGTCAGTAATCATGTGATCAGGGTATGTGAACTTCAATGTCTCATCCTGTGTAGGTCTTGAGAAGGCAAAGATCTCATCTAATTCCTTGAAGCTCACATGGTATTGTGTACCATTGATTGTGAACTCTATGTGCCCAAGACCATTTCCCTCCATGATCCTCTGGTCTCTTGGGCCATATCCAAAAACTTCAAGGGATGCAAGGAACTCTTGTGTTACTCCATCATGAGCCACATCTTTCATCTCAAAGAATCCACCAAATCCCATGTTGTTAAAAATGAGCTGAACCTCTTCAAGAAGCCCCATCTTTTTCAGCAGTTCCATATCAGGGAACTTGGTTTGCAGCACCTTTACATCCTTGAACCTAGCAAAGTAGTCATCAAAAGTTGGTTCTTTGTCTTCAGGTTCTGGTTTTGTCTTTGCTTTCTTAACCGGCTGCAATGCTACTTCAGGATCACTCTCTGTTTCTTCTTCATCCTCATCCTCAGCCACAGCCACCTCTTTTCCCTTCCTTTGAACAACTTCTACCAGCGCCAGTTCTTTACCAGAATTCTTTGAAGTAGAAGCCTTGGTTTTCTTTGGTGCAGCCACATTCTTTGCTTTCTTCTCAGCTGGATTCTTTGGCTTCCTCTGTTTCTTCTGTTTCTTGAAAACTTTATGCCCAAAAGGCATAATCTGATCCTCTGAAGCTCCAGCTTTCTCTTTTTTCAATTTCTCCATGGCCGCTGTTCTTTTTGTTCCTCCCATCCTTGGAATCTTCAAGTTTCGAGTGAAAAACGAATGTGCAGCAAGAAACTAGACAGGATTACGAGTTCAATGCAGTTGGAATTCCTCAATTTGGTTCAGGAACGAGAGAGATATGAGTGTTTAAAGTTTAAGAAATGGAGAGAAGGGGGCAAACTCGTGTGAAGAAGAAGACCAGGTGGGGAACAGCTGTAAAGGGCGCGTCCTTGACCGGGCAACGTCCGTACGGTCAACAATTTTTCAAAAATTTTGCCGTGCCATCGTTGACCGTGGCACGTGACCGTGTTAAACTCCGAACATTTGTGCTTTCTTTGCCGCAACCTGGAGCTTTCCGTGCCTTTTAACCGTGGCAATCCCCGAACAATTGCTCCTTTTCCAACCTAAACACGGCCAAGTGTTCTCCCCGTGGCAAACTCATCGTGGCAAGCACCGAACCTCGGTCGTTCATCCTTTTCTTTGCCACGGTCAGGTGATCTGCTCAAAGTTTAATCCCTAGAGCTACTCTGCAAGAGCACATATATGCAATTGTAGTACAATAGGGGTCGAACCACAAAGACGAGAGATTCGCACAATAAACTATCTAGGCTTGAACTACGATAAGTGAAAACGATGAAAATAACAGCAGCTATAAAATCAAACGGTTGTAAAATCAATGAGAAAAAGATAGGCTCAGGGTATTTCTCAGGAATCAGAGAATGCAGATAAATCAATTAATCAGGGTTCAGATTTAAGCACGGTTCTTGAACTCAAATCACGAAATTATAATTAACCAACTTCCTTTACGAGAATTATCTAAGTCTAAATCCTAGAATTCCAAATTCCTTTGCAAACCCTAAAGATTTAAACCAGCTTTAATGCTCAAGTTCGATATGTTCACAAAGTATCTAAACCAAATTCCTTTGCGAATAGCTACTTTGCTCTCCCTAGATTCTTTCCAGTTATTCAATTACACTTCTGTTTCAATCAATTAACCTAAGATCTAAGTTCTAGGTGGCCAGTCCAGAATTAGCTTTAAGAACAACCTATGGTGAAGAACTAAATAGATTATGAACCTAATTAACCAATCAATCCCACATGCAAAGAAATCCTTTATGAGAACCCTAAACCTAACAGGCAAACTACTCAGACATGGAGATTGAAACAATAAACATGAATGAATAGATTTCAGAAAACAGTAAATAGATAAATAAACAGGGGTTCGAAATCTTCTCTCTCCTGAACATAGTTTCAGACTTGTCTCCCCAAAAGCTCTCTCTAAGAAAATCTCAGGTATTTCTCTCTCAAAAATCTAAGGTATCGATATAAGGTGGCTAAAAACCCTATGTATAACTTAAAATCACGTTTTGGGCTTCTTAGGGAATATTTGGAAACTTCTGGGCCCAACTCCTTCTTCAAACAGGAAACAAAATCACGTTTTCCTTATTTCTGCGATCGGTGTCGAGCGTCACTCTCCATGGTGTCGAGCGACACTAAAGCACATAATTCATCCTTCACGAATTTGATCTTGATCAAGCTCCAAAGTGCTCCAAAATCACAAATTAAGCTCCAAACGTACCTATGACCTGTAAAGACTCCAAAAGACTCGAGAAACACTAGAAAGACTCTATAAATAAGACCTATACCATGGTTAAAAACCATAAAAACCATGATATATCAACTCCCCCAGACTTAGCATTTGCTTGCCCTCAAGAAAACAAAATACCAAACAAGAGAAAGAGGTTTGAAAACACAAAGACTCAACCTTGCTCTGGAACATCGTTTTAACCGATCACCCTGCAACTCAACTACTGCTTCATCATTCCAAATCGAACCACCATGTACTTCTCTGCAGACATTCACAGCTTCCCAGATTGAGTCCAAAATTCCACAACATTGTCCATAAACCCTCATCGCTGGGTTTCACTGATGATTCAGATGCCAAGAACCTTCTAGACTCTTTTCCGTACTACCCTCTCCATACACACTTTGGTAATTTTCTCTCCCCCAGACTTATTCTTTTCACACACTCATCTTCTTTTTTTTTTATGGCATATACTCGGTAAGGGTAAAGCTGCAAGTACTGATGGTGTTTGCCATCGAGTCCCCGAGTTGTCCCCTTACCTTGTATCAAAGGTTTTCAACGAATAGTGGGGTCATAGGAAAGTTTCCTACCCCTTGCTTCCTTCCTTTGTGTGATCATTCCTACTTAGAAGTGAAATAATGGGATCCTTGGAAATTTTCCTAGCCCTTCACTCCTAAGCGAAAATCATCTCAATCTTTTTGCCTTTTTCTTTCTTTCTTCATCTTTTAGCTTATCACAGGGAGAGAAACACCAACATTAGATTTCAAACAGGCTTTCATTTGTCAAGTATGAACGAGGAATCAAGCTCTATGAACATCAGTCACATCAATGAGGTAAAAGAAAGAGTTCAGAAATTAGCTCAGGTTAGTAGATTCTGTTGGAAACATGGACGCCTCTAGTCATCTGGTCAGCCTTTGGATTTTTCATTAGTCGGATCTAGACTAAATCTGCAGCAATGGTCACTTAGATGAAAGGTCAGCACAATAATTCCAGGAAAAGCATCATAATATCCAACAAGTTTTGACTCAAAAATAATTTGACACGACTGACTCTAAGAAAAACAAACACAATGTCAGCGACTACCTCCCCCAGACTTAAACAACACTGTCCCCAGTGTTATCTAGCACGAAGGTGGCAAAACAAAAGAAAAGAAACATAGAAACGCAGGAAAAACAGAGAACTTACCTGGCTGCAATGATGGTGTCAAGCGACACTGATGTTGGTGTCGTGCGACACTTGTTCTTCTCGTACCAAATTGCAGCAGACCACTCCGAATTTCTGGTTCGACTCCGGTTTCCTGATTTTTTTTTTTTTTTTTTTTTTTTGACTGGTGTCGACCGACACTGATGGTGGTGTCGCTCGACACTAACCACTTCGTATCTGTTACACCTAAAACACAAAAACAAAAAACGAAAATCAAAAGAAATAAAAAGACTTATATACAGACTTACCAGTGGATTGCCTTCCACCAAGCGCTTGTTTTAAGTCATTAGCTTGACTATGGATAGACTATGCATCTCGTGGATCAGACAGTGGCAAAGAATGCCTCTGTGAAAGTCGTCTCATCCATGGTGGTGTGTAAGCGTTGTGTGCATGAGGTCGTCCAAGGAATGCAGGAATAGCACCAGGGTGAGATCAGTGTTTGGGTGGCTTCAACCTATTCCCTGAAATATCATCAATAGAAAAACCAAGTGCTCTTTGCTTTGCTGGAGATGAATAGAGCATGATGTTTTGAGCTTCCTGAGCAACAGCAGTCACTGGTTCTGTAGACGTTTTCGTCAACTCAGGTTGATCTCCCACCTTCTCAGCATCAAACACGTTCTGATCTCCAACTATCACTTCAGGTATTGCACTGACTTGGAATGTCTGACCATCTATGGTTGAATCCTTCAGCTTCTCCATCTTGAAAGTCATGATGGTATCTCCCAGGTGGAGATCAAGGTTACCATGCTTGACATATCTTCCCAGGATAAGAGGATCTTTGGGTTCTTCTCCATATTCCAGAACCACGAAATCTGTAGGAATTATGCAATCACCAACTTTAATCGGAACATCCTCCAAGACACCTTTTGGGATTCTTTTAGATCGATCTGCTAGGATTAGAGAGATCTTAGTTGGTTTGAAATCAGTCATTCCAAGGCTAACAGCTACAGAATATGACATGAGGTTAACACTCGAACCAAGATCACACAGCGATCTCTTGAACCTCTCTGAGAAGATAGAGCAGTCCAAAACAAAGCTTCCTGGATCCGAGAGCTTCTCTGGAATCTTATTCTGAATCACAGCACTGACCTGTTCAGAAATCATCATCACTCCTTCCTCATGACTCAGATTATTAGTCACAATCCTCTTCACATAGTGTCTGAGAGTAGGAGCAATCTTCACAGCATCAACCAAAAGAATCTCAATCACAAGCTTCTCCATCAAAGCCTTGCATCTGGCATCATCTAGCTCCTGCTTGGAATTCCTAGGACTCTTTGGGTAAGGAACCTTAGGTTTGTAAACCTTTTCCTCTGCTGGCTTCGGATTCTGAGCAATATCGGCTTCGCTCTGCAATTGGTGTCGCGCGACACTAGTTGTGGTGTCGCTCGACACCGGCTCTGCAACTTCGAAATTTTCTTCAGATTCGTCCAATTCCACGATTTCATCCTCAGAAACACCCTTTTTAAGCACATGAGTCAACTTCTTACCACTCCTTAACGAGATGGCACTGCAGTAATGCCTAGGATTGGTATCAGTCTTCCCAGGAAGGAATCCTTCTTGCCTTTTTAAAGACTCTGCAGTCTGAGCAACCTGAGTATCAAGCTTCTTGACATAAGTGTTCAGAACTTCAATTTTTCCATTCAGATCCAGATACAGAGCATCAATCTTCCCATTGAAATCCACAGTCATCTTCTGCTGACCTTCCAAGATCTGTTCCAGCATAGATTTCACCTCATTATCTGGAGTTTGAGTAGGAGGAGCATCATAGTTCCTCGAGAAACTGTTGTTGGAGTAGGATGTCTGGTACTGAGGTTTGGAGCTGTAACCAGAAGAGTTCTAATTACCTGTGAAGGTACTCCTCTGATTATTTCCACTGTAATTCGTTTTCCCTTGCTGAGTACCAAATCTCTGACCCTGAAATCCAGCTCCATGGATGAAGTTAACAACCTCTTCCTCAAGGGCTTCATCTGGTTCGAAATTCTTAACCTCTGCAGCGTATCAAACGGACTTCTTACCCACTAGAAGGCTATGCACAGAGTCAAGCTTAGCCTTCACCTCAGCAATCTGCGATCCATCCATGTTTCCACCCTGCTTCTTTCGCTGATAGTCTGCATTCTTAGTACTATTGCTAGATGCCAAGTTATCAGTAAGCACAACAGCGTCTTCAGGGTATCTAGTGTTGAAGTTTCCATTGCTCGCTGCATCAAGAGCCATCTGATACCTCCAATCAACACCTCTGAAGAAAATACCTAGCAGCTGAACATCACTGAAACCATGATGTGGACAATCTCTCTGATATGACTTGAATCTCACCCAAGCAGCCTTGAATGCTTCAGTTGGTCCTTGAGAAAACGTTGAGATTTTGAGTCTCAGTTCCTCAGACATGGCATCATCATAAAAATTGTGCAAAAAGGCGTTTCTGGTCTCCTCCCAAGTAGTTAGTGATCCTGGTTCCAACTGTTTCAGCCAGTTAGCTGCTTCTCCAGCAAGAGAGTATGGAAACAGCTTACAGAAGAGGAAATCATTGGACACTCCATTGTACTTGATGCTGGTGACCAAGTCCTCAAACCTCTCAATATGATCCATAGGGTGCTCATGAGAGTGGCCATGAAAGAAATGCTGACCCACAAGAGTGTAGTATACAGGTTTCAGCTCAAAATCGTTCCTCTGAAATGCAGAAGCGCGAATCGCAGACCGATTTGCATAGAACTGCTCAGGCCTGTTGTAGTCACCCAGCGTCCTGATGATGTTACCCTCTCCATCAAGTCGCTGGCCTCTCTCATTACACACATGACCATCTTGGTCTCTCCAGACTCCAGCATCATCACGAACCAATGCCAATGCGTTCTCCATCTTTTCTAATTTTCTGAGACAAAGAGAAAGAACAATGTAAGTAACAAAATAAAAATAAAATTAAGAAAAACGACGGGTGTCGCACGACACCATTAGGGGTGTCGCTCGACACTAAGAAAAACTTAGTCGAAACTCAAGAACTAAAGTTTAATGGCGAAAATCAAGTCCCCGACAATGGCGCCAAAACTTGAGCTGCTCAAAGTTTAATCCCTATAGCTACTCTGCAAGAGCACATATATGCAATTGTAGTACAATAGGGGTCGAACCACAGAGATGAGAGATTCGCACAATAAACTATCTAGGCTTGAACTACGCTAAGTGAAAACGATGAAAATAACAGCAGCTATAAAATCAAACGGTTGTAAAATCAATGAGAAAAAGATAGGCTCAGGGTATTTCTCAGGAAATCAGAGAATGCAGATAAATCAATTAATCAGGGTTCAGATTTAAGCACGGTTCTTGAACTCAAATCACGAAATTATAATTAACCAACTTCTGTTGCGAGAATTATCTAAGTCTAAATCCTAGAATTCCAAAATCCTTTGCAAACCCTAAAGATTTAAACCAGCTTTAATGCTCAAGTTCGATATGTTCACAAAGTATCTAAAACAAATTCCTTTGCGAATAACTACTTTGCTCACCCTAGGTTCTTTCCAGTTATTCAATTACACTTCCGTGTCAATCAATTAACTTAAGATCTAAGTTCTAGGTGGCCAGTCCAGAATTAGCTTTAAGAACAACCTATAATGAAGAACTAAATAGATTATGAACCCTAATTAACCAATCAATCCAACATCCAAAGAAATCCTTTATGAGAACCCTAAACCTAAGAGGCAAACTACTCAGACATGGCGATTGAAACAATAAACATGAATGAATAGATTGCAGAAAACAGTAAATAGATAAATAAACAGGGGTTCAAAATCTTCTCTCTCCGGAACATAGTTTCAGACTTGTCTCCCCAAAAGCTCTCTCTAAGAAAATCTCAGGTATTTCTCTCTCAAAAATCTAAGGTATCGATATAAGGTGACTAAAAACCCTATTTATAACTTAAAAAACACGTTTTGGGCTTCTTAGGGAATATTTGGAAACTTCTGGGCCCAACTCCTTTTTCAAACAGGAAACAAAATTACATTTTTCTTATTTCTGCGATCGGTGTCGAGCGTCAGTCTCCATGGTGTTGAGCGACACTAAAGCACATAATTCATCCTTCACGAATTTGATCCTGATCAAGCTCCAAAGTGCTCCAAAATCACCAATTAAGTTCCAAACGTACCTATGACCTGTAAAGACTCCAAAAGACTCGAGAAACACTAGAAAGACTCTATAAATAAGACCTATACCATGGTTAAAAACCATAAAAACCATGATATATCACCAGGTCTTCTTCCCGTGTCTCTTAGCCGTGTCAAAACCCGAACATTGGTCTATTCCTCTTTTCTTTGCCACGGCCAGGTCTTCTTCCCGTGTCTCTTAGCCGTGTCAAAACCTGAACCCTTGTCTTTCCAAACCTGTTTTGCCACGGCCAGGTTCAGTTCCGTGTCATCTGGCCGTGTCTAAACCCGAACCCAGGTTCCTTCATCTTTGTATTGCCACGGCCTGCTGCGGTGCCGTGTTCCTTGACCGTGGCAAACCCCGAATGGTTGCTTCTTTTGCCACGGTCAAACCTAAGACCGTGATTCCTCTCTCGTGGCTTAGCTTAAAAGCTTGCCACGCCTTGTTATCTTGCTGGTGACCATGCTCAAAACTGTGGCTGGTGACCATGCTCAAAACCGAGCATAAGCTCTTGCCCATTCCTTCATTCCTTTTCATCTTGCATTAACTTCCCAAGGGTTCAAACTCAAACCTGTAACCTGTAGACACTAAACAAACCCATCAAAACATCCTAAAACATAAAAAAGAAAGGAATCAAAAGATTAAAAGCATATTTACAAAAGATAAGCTTGGGGTGTCTCCCAAGAGCACTTTGTTTAAAGTCTCTAAGTTTGACTTTGGAAACCTGATTTAACAGGCTGGTGGTGGATCAAGAAGGGGAACTGATGTAGCTTCCTCCTTTCTTTGTGAAACCAGATAGTGCTTGATCTTTTGGCCATTTACCACAAACTCTTGACCATTCTTGCCTTCTAACACAACAGCTCCATATGGCCTGATTTCAAGAACCTTAAAGGGACCAGACCATCTAGACTTAAGTTTTCCAGGAAACAACTTAAGCCTAGAGTTGAACAGCAACACCAGATCACCATCCTTGAACTCCCTTTTCAGAATCTTTTGATCATGCAGAGCCTTGGTGATACGATCCTAGGTGATCAACTCTGAAGAAAAGGCAACAGTTGCGGCGATTTTGTGGACAGGCTATAGCGATGAGGTGATGGGGTGGTGATGATCGGTTCGATGGTGGCGATGGCTTGAGGATCGAGTCGAAGATGGTGATGGTGGTTCGGCGGATCGAGTGAGATGAGAGGGTGGATATGGTGTGATGATCGATTGATGGTGTGGTGATGATAAGATGATATCGATGGAATGGAGAGATAGTAGAATCTCTTGTAAACAGATTAGTTTTTAAGAGATTCGAATTTCAGAGTTTTTAGTTCTCAGAAATCAAAACGAGAGAAGAACACGTTAAAAGTTTGATCAAAATTCTTCACTGAATATTACTTAGGCGATTTTCTCTATTTTATAGAGTAAGAGAGAAAATCGCAGCCCTAATACAAAACTACATGAAGTTTGAAAAAAAAACAACAAGAAGTTTGATTTAAAAATAAAACAGCGAGGCGTCCCTTCTAAACCTAAGTGGTGCGCCTAAAATACTAGTGCACAAGTCATTGTGACTTTGCACATTATCACCCATTAGTAACAACTTCTAAGTAACTCGACGTAGCAATGATTTCTGCCTCGTTAAAAACCTCCTTGCCTTCCAAAATCCTCACCAAGGAAAAGAGTACAGAATCATCACCTAAGTTACCTAGTCATTGTTACTGGGTTCTTCATTCTTCAAGATAGAGATGTTGAAGATGTGAGCTCCAGCCTCCAGTTGATCGATGTCCTCTGCGGCCATGAGTGCGTGAGCCTCCTTAGCCATCTCTCTAGCTCTAAAACAAGTGATCCTGCCAGCTACCTCTGGTTCCTCCTCCTCTGAGCTGGTCACGATCATATCATCCTCTCCCTCTTGAAAAGGATTTGTCCTCAAATCGGAATCTGCAACATAAGGAAGCAAGTCAGAAACATTGAAAGCATCAGAAACATCATACTTACCTTGAAGATCAATCTGATAGGCGTTGTTGTTGATTCTTTTGATGACTGCAAATGGTCCATCAACTCTGGGCATTAGCTTGTTCTTTCGCTCAGTTGGAAATCGCTCCTTCCTCAGATGGATCCACACCAGATCTCCTTCTTCGAAAATCAGCTCTGTTCGTCCTTTGTTGGCATGCTTCTCATACTGCTTTGTCTTCTTCTCGATGTTCTCCTTAGCCTTAGCATGTATTCTTCGGACCTGTTCAGCTTTCTCCTTGCCATTCAAACTGCATTTTCCATTTAAAGGCAAAGGGATCAAGTCTAGAGGTGATTGTGGATTAAACCCATATACAATTTCAAAAGGAGAAAAGAGAGTAGCGGAATGCTTAGCGTGATTTATAGGCAAACTCAACATGAGGCAGACACTCTTCCCATGTCTTGAGGTTACTCTTCACCAAAGTCCTTAGAAGTGTGGACAACGTTCTATTCACCACCTCGGTTTGTCCATCGGTCTGTAGATGACACGTAGTCGAGAATGAGAGCTTTGTTCCCAGCTTAGCCCAAAGCGTTCGCCAAAAATGTCCTAAGAACTTCGTGTCTCGATCTGAAACGATGACCTTTGGCATTCCGTGCAGTCTTACTACTTCCCTGAAAAACAAGTTAGCTACATTCACAGCATCATCTGTCTTGTGGCTAGCGATGAAGTGAGCCATCTTGCTAAACCTGTCAACAACTACAAAAATAGAATCTCTACCATTTCTGGTTCGAGGTAAGCCAACTACAAAATCCATAGAGATATTAGTCCAAGGTTGAGAAGGAATAGGAAGAGGAGTATACAAACCGTGAGGTTGAAGTTTACTCTTAGCCATCTTACATACGACACATCTAGAACAAATTTTCTCAACGTCTTTCTTCATGTTCGGCCAGTAGAAGTGCTCTTGTAGTCCAAGAAGTGTCTTTCTAACACCGAAATGTCCAGCTAATCCACCTCCATGAGCTTCTCGTACCAGTAACTCTCGAATGGATCCTCGTGGTATGCACAATCGGTTACTGAAGAACAAGTATCCATCTTGTCTATAAAATTTCTCACAGGCAAACTTATGACATTTGGCATAGCTCTCAGAAAAGTCAGTATCAGATTCATAGAGATCTATAATGTGCTCAAATCCAATCAACTTTGATGTTAAAGTCGAAATAAGAGTGTACCTCCGGGATAATGCGTCTGCGACCACATTATCTTTACCTTTTTTGTACTTAACAATGTAGGGGAATGTCTCAATGAACTCCATCCATCGCCCATGTCTTTTGTTAAGCTTCTGCTGACCCTTGAGGTGCTTTAGAGACTCGTGATCGGTATGAATGACGAATTCCTTAGGCCATAAGTAATGCTGCCACGTCTGGAGAGCTCGAACCAATGCGTTTAACTCCTTGTCATACGTGGGATAATTCAGCGTTGATCCTCCTAACTTTTCGCTGAAGTAAGCGACAGGCTTCTTATCTTGCATAAGAACTGCTCCAATACCTACACCAGAAGTATCGCATTCAATCTCAAAAGTCTTAGTAAAATCAGGAAGTACTAGTAAGGGCGAATTGATAAGCTTCTCTTTAAGGGCTGTAAAAGCCTATTCTTGCGCCTCTCCCCACTTGAACCCCACGTCTTTCTTGATTACTTCGGTTAAGGGCGCGGCTATGGTGCTGAAATCACGAACAAAACGACTGTAGAATCCTGCTAAGCCATGGAAACTTCGGACTTCTCCAATATTCTTGGG